AAATGAATTAATTAAATAAATGATAATGCAACTACTACTATTACATCTAAAATAACAATTTATTCTATTTAAATGTATATTTATTTCAAACGCTAGAAATTTCTAGACGATTCGGTGCGTTGCCCCAGACTACAATACAAAGCGGTTTCTATTTTTTGCGGTAGGAACATTTTGTAAAAATTACAAAATATATTTGTATGTATACATTTAATGTACTACTTGGGGGTGTCAGATATTTTTTAAGTTGTGATTTTATTTGGTATATAGATTATTAAATAAATTTTGTTTAGTCTAAAAACAATTTGGAAAAAAAATGTTTTCCTAAATGACATAGGAAAAAATTCATCTCGCTGATAAATAGCAACAGTAAATTATACATATACGGAAATTTCAAATAAATTTATTTAAATTAAAATAAACAGTATTGTCATTATTATTGTTTTGGAAAATCTTGTAAAATTGTTATTAATGTATATAAAAATAAACTTTAAAAGTTTTCCAAAAAGGAGTTAACTCCTAACAATTTTTTGAAAGGTTTCAAATATTATTAAATTAAACAAATACATGTTTTTATTTCTTTGTGATCGAAAACTTTTTGTAAAAATTACAAAATGCATACATTCATTTTTTTATTTAAAGTTGCAATGACAAAAATTCACCTCGCTAATGTTTACAATTCTATATGTTTTTTATATTATATTTTAGACGTTTTCCTATACAATTTTGTGAATTGTCGCTTTTGGAAATAAATATTATTATTATTATTATTATTAATAAATAGCTACAGTATATATAGGTATAAGACATATTTTTGTAGTAAATGTTATGCTCTACAAAAAAATATTTTATATTTTTTCGTAAAACCATCCATTTAGGTATAAGATATCGGAAATAAAAATTTGTTCTATTTAAATGTAGGTACCTATATTTATTTTAAACGCTAGAAATTTCTAGACGACTCGGTGCACCGTTGCGCCAGGCTATAAATCAATATAAAACGGTTTCTATTTTTGCGGTAGGAACATTTTGTATATAGATTATTAAATAAATTTTGTTTAGTCTAAAAACAATTTGGAAAAAAAATTGTTTTCCGATGTCGTTTAACCCTTCCTAAAAAATTCATCTCGTATATTTTATATTTTTTTCTTAAAACCATCCATTTAAATGATATCGGAAATTTTAAATAAATTTATTTAAATTAAAATAAAAAGTATTGTCATAATAATTGTTTTGGAAAATCTTGTAAAATTGTTATTAATGTACCTACCTATATAAAAATAAACTTTAAAAGCTTTCCAAAAAGGAGTTTTTTGAAAAATTGCAAATATTTAAATTAAACAAACACATGTTTTTATTTCTTGGTGATCAAAAACTGTTTGTAAAAATTACAAAATTTATTAATTTTTTTAATTAAATGCAAATTCAAATCAAAAGAGCAAATATATTTATTTTGTTATTTATATAGCCCGCCACAACAAACAGCGATGTCTAGAAATTTCCAGCAATTGAAATAAATATAAATATATTTATATTTATTTCAATTGCTGGAAATTTCTAGACATGTATGTATACATAGGTATACATTACAATACAATTAATTGTTAACGTTATTTTAGATGTATACATATACCTATTTTATTAAATTATTTAAACTATAATATAACCATGCAAAATTATTATAATATAAAAGATTTAACGTCGACTTTTCTCGATCGCGTAGAAAATTCGAGATTGACCGAGCGTATTCGACCCCAGATTCGACCGTTCATATAAAAGCGAACCGGGCGCGCGGCAAGGCAGTCTATTTGAATCAAGCGAACAGTAAACAACAAAACATAGTGAACTGCGACTTTACCTGCCAAGTGTTTCAAAGCTATTAAACAGTGATATCAAATAAAAGTTTAACGTTCAAAGTATAAATTAACTAAAAAAAGAAAATGGTGAAAGCTCCAGCAATTGGTATTGACTTGGGAACCACGTATTCCTGCGTCGGAGTGTGGCAACATGGAAAGGCGGAAATCATCGCCAACGACCAAGGAAACAGAACAACCCCTAGTTACGTGGCGTTCACGGACACCGAGCGTCTTCTGGGCGACGCAGCCAAGAACCAGGTGGCGATGAATCCAAACAACACAGTATTCGATGCCAAACGACTGATCGGTAGAAAATATGGCGACCCCAAAATTCAGCAAGACATCAAACACTGGCCATTCAAAGTGGTAAGCGACTGTGGAAAGCCCAAAATCCAAGTTGAATTCAAAGGAGAAATCAAAACCTTTGCTCCTGAAGAAATAAGCTCGATGGTTTTGACTAAAATGAAGGAAACGGCAGAAGCTTATTTGGGATCGACAATCAAAGATGCCGTTATTACAGTTCCAGCTTACTTCAACGATTCACAAAGACAAGCAACAAAGGATGCTGGTCACATCGCCGGATTAAACGTGATGAGAATTATCAATGAGCCCACAGCAGCCGCTTTAGCATATGGATTGGACAAGAATCTCAAAGGAGAAAAGAACGTTTTAATTTTCGATCTGGGTGGTGGTACTTTTGATGTCTCAATTCTTACCATCGATGAGGGATCACTGTTTGAAGTAAGGGCCACTGCCGGAGACACACATCTTGGTGGAGAAGACTTTGATAACCGACTCGTCACCCATTTGGCAGACGAATTTAAAAGAAAATTCAAAAAAGATTTGCGAAGTAACCCAAGGTCTCTTCGAAGATTGAGAACGGCTGCGGAAAGAGCAAAGAGAACCTTGTCATCAAGTACGGAAGCCACCATTGAAATTGATGCACTCTTCGAAGGTGTCGATTTCTACACAAAAGTTACGAGAGCCAGATTCGAAGAACTATGTTCAGATTTATTCCGAGGAACTCTACAACCCGTTGAAAAAGCTCTTGCAGACGCCAAAATGGACAAGGGAGCAATCCACGATGTCGTTTTGGTTGGAGGCTCAACAAGAATTCCCAAAATTCAACAACTGCTCCAAAATTATTTCTGCGGAAAACCCTTGAATTTGTCCATCAACCCAGATGAAGCAGTGGCTTATGGGGCTGCCGTTCAAGCTGCGGTACTGAACGGCGAAACAGATTCAAAAATTCAAGACGTTTTATTGGTCGATGTAACACCACTTTCGATGGGAATCGAAACAGCAGGTGGAGTTATGACAAAGTTGATCGAACGAAATGCCAGAATTCCATGCAAGCAGACGCAAACATTTACCACATACGCTGATAATCAGCCAGCCGTCACAATTCAAGTATTCGAAGGGGAAAGAGCCATGACCAAAGACAACAACTTATTGGGAACATTCGATCTAACTGGAATACCACCTGCACCGAGAGGAGTTCCGAAAATTGAAGTTACCTTCGATTTGGATGCCAACGGAATATTGACCGTCTCGGCGAAAGATACCAGTTCTGGCAATTCTCGCAACATTACCATCAAAAACGACAGGGGTCGCCTATCGCAGAAAGACATCGACCGAATGGTATCCGAAGCTGAGCAATACAAGGAAGAGGACGAGAAGCAGAGACAAAAAGTAGCCGCCCGCAACCAGCTAGAAGCGTACGTGTTCCAACTAAAGCAGGCAGTGAACGAATGCGGCGACAAACTATCCGCCGATGACAAGTCGAAGGTGGAGAAAGAATGTGAAGATTGTTTGCGTTGGCTGGACAGCAACACGTTGGCTGAAAAGGAAGAATACGAGGACAAACAGAAGCAGATGACGTCTGTGTGCAGTCCGATTATGGCCAAATTGTACGGCGGCGCCCAACAAAACGCCGCTGGAGGCGGAATGCCCGGGAGCTGCGGTCAACAGGCTGGCGGCTTTGGAGGCAGACAAGGCGGCCCGACGATCGAAGAAGTCGATTAAACCAGTACTTAATTTATCAGTATTTATTTATGTTTAGTTTTAGGATTTAAGACTGATTTATTGTATTTATTTAAATAGGAAAATAAATATTTTTTGTTATTAAAAAGCTTTTTTCTACTCCTATTACGGAATATGACCTTTTACTACTCCTATTACGAAATATTACCGTTCTAATATCACTTTTTAATGTGGAAGTACTACAAAATGAATTATTCTATCATCGGCCGGATGACGGAATAAACACTCGTGGCGACATCTCTGTGTTTAATATGTAACAAATTTAGACCGATCCAACCTTACTTTCTCTCAATTAAATTTATTTTCTATGGGATTTTTTGGAAACGTAGAAAAATATAGCCTGAAACACGTTTGGAATTGCATATTTCGCTCTCATGAAACCGTCAAACTCGCCTTCGGCTCGTGTGACAAATTTTACTCTAGCGGAATATACCATTATTTAAAAATTAATTAATATTTTCGTAGAATAATAATTATTATACAAAATACCCTGTATGTCGGGCAAAACAGTACAACCTGGCATCGCTGTGCTGTCTTTCTCTTTCTATTGTTCTATGATGGTGTTGGTATAACGGCAACGTTGCATTGGCTTGGTCGCTTGAGTTTTATTTGAAAATCATTCTTTCTGTGAAGAATTTGAGTTTTAAAGGTGCATTATTTCGCGAAAAGCGGCATTGGTTTTCATAAAAGTAAAGTGCTGGTTTTTTACTTAACAATAGTGTTCTAATCCATAGAATTCTAAAAGGTAGATAAATTAATAAGTATAGCGGCGCATAAGCCGTGAAATGGTGTGCTGCGCAGCTAATGGAAGCGAAAAAGCCATTTTTCTACGACAAACAGCAGACGCCAAGCTACATAGTGCATCTGTAAAATCGTTTTAAAACCAATAATATTCTTCCAATGTGTGTAAATAGTGAAAAAAATGGAAGTCAGGTCGATTGTTTAACAAAAAAACTATAAATTTGGTGAGTACCAAACACATAATGCATAAAGCGACATTTGATGCTAGCAAGCCCCATTGTATTTACACGCCAAGTAAACTAACCTTAAATATTATTGATTTTAGCTGCTTTCCTTGTTACATTTCTGCCTTTATTATAAAACATGGACACAGCTACGGCTTTAAGTTCGAACGGGCAAAAAACCGAGGCCATTAAGCAGGAACTTATTGACATCGAAGTGGAAGATTTTCAAAAAATCTGCAGGACTTGCATGTCAAGAGACAAGCTTAAAGGTATTCGAGACGTGTTGAATAAGGACGGTGTCAAGCTTACGGAATTATTTAAGCATTATTTAGAAGTAGATGTAAGTATTTTTTGTTATTTCTGTTTTACATTTTAAACCAGTTCAATATAACACAATATGATAATACAAATTGGAAGGAAATTCGTGATTTTCATTAAAAAAAAAATATACATAGTTCAACAATTAATCTTGTAATAAAAACTTATTGTTTTTATTAAAAAAGTTATTGTTGTATGAAAGTTCGGAGAGTTCTGGAGAAACCTATTATAATGTAAACTTTTTATATAATCTATATAATCTTTATGTTTTTTGTTGTTGGTTGAAAAAACGTTTTTTAGTTTTTTTTTCAAAACTTCTAAATTAATTCACAAGTATATGAAGTCAATATTTAACATCAATATCATCCTTTCTAAAACTGGATCCAATATAATTTTTCGATATTAATAATAGGTATAAAATAAAAAACATAGAAACATAAAACAATATTGATATTCAATGCAAATTTTTTTTTTCAAGTGGCTAATAATGCGCCGATTGCATAAACTTTTTTATCTATGGCCGATTGTATTTGCAACTGTTAATAATTATTAACAGTTGCAAATACAATCGGCCATAGATAATAGTACACTCACAGGCAAAATAATCGATCCACACAAATTTTCAATGAACTTCAATCGCAAATAACTTTTTTATTTGATGTCGGATTTAAACGAATATTAAAGAATATTGTAGATACATTAATGGAGAATCGCTCACATTTTAAAAATTACTAAAAAATACACGTACGTTTATAATATACAGGTTTAAACAAAAATATGTTTTTAACCATAAGTTTAAGACACTTTGTAGAGTGGCAAAACCGTATATTGTTCTAAATTAAGTTTTATTTATCAAGTCACATCTATTCTTAACAGTTTTGTTTTTGGTTCACCTCAATATATTTATTTTTGTGGAAAATATGGATTTTAAAAAAACATTGCAATTTACAATATTTTTCTGTATGAAGAACTAAGGTTGCTATGGTCCATCCATATTCTATGGAGAATGACAGTGACAGTTTTGTTGAATCATCCCATACTTGGACATACAGCTATCAAATTGTTTTTTGCAAATAAATGTTTTAAATTTTGAGGTGTCTTCTTACTTTAAAAAATGGATATGTCTCTGACTGATGTTGCCAGAGCCATTAATTAAATCCAGGATGGACGGTCACAGTATTACATGGCAAGTGTTTTAAATGTCACAAGAAGTAAAGTACAAAGGGCAACATCAGTCGGAGACATTTTTAAAAGTAAGAAGACACCTCAAAATTAACACACTAATTTACAAAAAACAATTTGATAGATTTTGAAAGCTGTATATGACATGTCCAAGTATGGGATGATTCAACAAAACTGTCACTGTCATCCTCCATAGGCTATGGATGGACCATAGCAACCTTAGTTCTTCATACAGGAAAAATATTGGAAATTGCAATGTTTTTTAAAAAAATAATTAATATTTTTGACAAAAATAAATATATCAAGGTGAATCAAAAACAAAACTGTTAAAAATGTGTGACTTGATAATTAAAACTTAATTTAGAACAATATACGGTTTTGCCACTCTACAGAGTGTCTTAAACTTATGGTTTATTGTCACTTTTTCGTTAATAAAAATTGTTAAAATTATTTGCAAATTTTTTTGATTGGATTAATAATAGAGATTAATGGCAAAAAACGTAAAAAATGATCACCTAAAATAACTTTCGGTTTTTACTACATTGGCACTGCTGAAATTGTTGTCACAGTCTACTGTTAGTAACAGTAGACTGTGACAGCAAATTCAACAGTCTGTTACTTATTTTTGAAACTATTTACAAAATTGTTTTCTGTGCCTGATAAATAAAATGAGGGGAAAAACATTATTTAATTATAAAACCATCTTGAAATTTAGCTAAAATTTGGATTAATTAAATTTCCCAAAAGGAATGTGTTTTTTTAACTCAACAAGTTTTTGCTAAAATTTTAAATTATATTTTACAACTAAATTAAAATTGTATTCTTAAAAAAAAGGGCCAAAACTAGGCTTGATTGGATTAATAAGTTTGAAAAAAAAAACAAAATGTGAAAAAAAATTACGTACATTTTAAAAAAACGGATTTTTAACATCTCTAAAATGTTTTATTTTTATTTTAGTCTATTAATAATCAAAACATGCCACAAAACATTTGTACCAAGTGCACGAAAGAAATTTTCAAATTTTACGTGTTTAAACAGCAATGCCTGCACTATGACAAGTTGTTTAAAGAGAGACTTACTAAGAAAGAAAGACTAGTGTACGAGGATAATGACTACACAAACGACAATAAGTTCGAAATTTTGATGGACGATGACGACGATTACCACGACGACGCAGACGATCCACCCGATTCGCCGGATTACTACGACGAAGAGTTCAAACCGGAAAAACCCTCGAAATCCGCGAAACCACCTCCCGCGGACGCCGGCGATCGAAACGATCAAATAAAACGCGAAAAAGCGGATTTCGGCGAGATCTACGACGACGACGAAGACGACGAGGACGAGGAGTGGTCGGAAGACGACGAAAAACCGCTCATCCAAACCCTTATCAAAACAGAGGACGAGCTGAACTGCAAGGTCTGCTCGGAGGAGTTCAAGACGGCGGAGGAGCTGAAGGCCCACCAGGAAGAACAAAACCACGTCGCGAAAAAGAAGAGGTCCAATAAACTGAAGAAGTGCAAGTATTGCGACAAGGAGGTCGCCGCGTACAAGATGCGGCAGCATTTGCGAGTGCACACGAAGGAAAAGCCGTTCGTATGCAAAGTTTGCGGGCAAAGCTTCAGCTTGGCGGGAAACCTGAAAAGGCACAAAATGATTCACAGCGGGGAGCGGCCACACGTCTGCCAGATTTGCGGAAAAGGTAAGTCTTTTTGTTTTACAGCTTTTTTGTGCATATTGCAACGATATTTGTATCATTTTATATAAATATTATTGCAATCATGCACAAAAAAATGCCTTAATATACTTTAAAACAGGTCAAATATAAAAAACAAAATTCATTCAAATGGTCATTACTATTAACATATTTGACCTGTTTTAATTTAGATAAATTTCCGAAGCACATTGTATTAAAATCAAATATTTCCAAAGTAATAAATAAAATTTCGTTATATAGGGTGTTCCAATACATATAGAATTATTTCATAGTTCAGTAAATATACGATTTTTTATAAATTTTAATAGGTATTTCATTATAGTTAATTATAGGTTATAACATTCTGGTAGGTTAAAGTGGATTTTTGTGATTAAATGAAAAATAATAAATATGAATATATTCTTAATTTTGTTTAGTTGAAGCAAACGTATACTGTATTTTTTGTGTTGATTTTAAAATTTACTAGACTATGAGAATAAATTCATATTTATTAGACACCCTGCTTACAAACATCAACTGCTTCTAATATTATTGGAATTGTATGTATGTATGTTTCTTTAATTTTAAATATTGTATTTTGTGCTATTTTAAATCTACTAAAGTAATGTGAAATATCCAGTGTGGTGATTTTTCTGTATGGTGTTATATTATTTTACATTCCATATCATTGAATGGTAAGTTAAAGATAATATGTTAATTATAAAAAAATTATGGTTGTTTACATATTTTTATGTGGAACACCCTAAATTTTTGTTGTTACATTAAGCATGCGAATATTCCAATTTGAACTATAGAAAAGTCATTTTGTATAAAGTTTACATTATGTAACAGTGATTTTATATTTTTTCTCCTCTTTAAAATCTCTTATTACATGACATTCTTCAATTTTCAATGGTTTCAGAAAAATATGGTTTTTGCGTTGCCAGAATTATATTACTATATATTTTAATTATTAAGAGTGCGAGATGATTGGTTTTGACTTTTTAAGATAACTTAAAATTAAATTTTGTCTTATTAACCCCTATTATTGGGTCATTTCATCAAATATTTTTTTTGTTGTGACCCCCGCTGTTTTTTAATTTTGTGGAGTTATTATTTACATCAAAATAATGACTTACTGTCCTAGAAATTAATTTTCGAATTTTGAAGATATTTTTTTAAAAAAATTTGTTATTTGTTTTGGTGTTAATATAAAAATACAAACAGTACTATTTTTTTTGGTAGTTTTTCAATGAAAATATTCATTTTTTATTATAAGATTCAATTAACGTGAAATTGAGGTTTTTCTGGCCTTGCGGCAATTTTTATTTAAAATTTTGTATTTTTATCTGAAAGCTGATAATTTTTTCACGATAGGGTTATTTTTTGTTTAAATGCATTAAAATAGTAAAGCAATTGTAAGTTAATTTTTTCAAAAGTTTGAGGTTATGCATCTGTCAAATTAACGCCAATTTCGTCTTATTTTCTGAAAATAGTTTAATAAATTTTTGTGACAAAACTAAGAAGTTTGTACAAAAATACGTATATTGTATTATTTTCAGAAAATATGAGAAAATTGTCGTTAATTTGACAGATGTCTAACCCTAATTAGTTCAGAAAAATTACAAACAAATCTCAGCTTTCCGAAAAAAATATCAAATTGAAATTAAAATTGCCGCAAGGCCAGAAAAATCGCACTTTTATTTAATTTGAAAGTATTTTACAAAAAAACAATACTGAATGTATTTTTATAAAACATTAAAAAAATAACGAAATAAGTAAAAAAAATGTATCAAAATTTGGTGGAACCCTATTACTATTATTTATTATTTTATTTAAAAATTTACACCTTACCAGTTCCCAAAACTACAAAATTATGCACCAAAGAACATGACTTTAAACCAACATTCATTAGCAATGACAAAATTTTTTATTCTTTACTTAATGGACAGAATTTAGCCAAATTATCTTATTATGGTTATCTTTAAAACAATATAAGTTTTTACTATAGAAAAAGTCCACCATTTTCTTCGTGGGACACCCTGTATTAACGAGTGCAAAAATAAAAATTAATGTTTGTTCATATTGTTCAAGGATTTACCCAAAACACCGGTTTACAAAAACACCTAAAAACCCATAAAGCAGTGGAAACTTTAATTGGCAACATTGAAGTTTTTATCTGCGAAATATGCAGCATGCAGTTTAAACGACTTAATGCTTTTAAAGAACACAAAAAACAACACCTAAATAATAAACAGGCGATCGATAAAGATAAACCGTGTATTTGTGATATATGCGGTAAAGGATTCGACGCCGAGATAGCGCTAAAAAAACACACCGCAAATCACGGAGAAAAGTTTTTTTGCGCAACAAATGCGGCAAAGGCTTCCTAAGAAAGCCTCAGTTAACTTTACATTTGAGAGTGCACACCAAAGAAAAACCGTACAAATGCGAACACTGCCAAAAATCGTTTGCCGCTGACAGTAGTCTTTCAGTGCACATGCTGATACACGCTGAACATAGAAAGTTCGCTTGTGGTCGGTGCGATAAAAGATTCGTTCAATCGCAACATTTGAAAACTCACATGAGGACTCACACGGGCGAACGGCCGTACCCGTGCAAAATTTGCGCCAAAAAGTTTGCTCACAAGTCCGTTTTGGTGAGCCATAGCAGGATTCACACCGGCGAGACTCCATTCGTATGCCATCACTGTGACAAAAGTTATTACGACGGGTCAGGTCTTAGGAGGCACTTCCGCAGAGCTCACCACAAAAACGCCAAAAAACCTTCCCGAACATTTGCTTGTGCGGATGGAATAAAAAGTGAAGTTCTAAATATTGATCAAGATGGTTGAGACGTATAAAAATAATAATTCCAAGGGTTCAGAAAGTTCTTGGTTTGAGCCCAGCGACATCTTTGTTTCAGTACCAGAACTTTAAGTTAACAAACCATACAAATTAGTTTTTGAATAATGATAATCTTGAACGTATAAGTGCGTGTAATAACACTCATTTAGGTTGGATTTATTTTCACGGTGCTTCAACTAATTTTATGCGACAAAAAAGCGTAGTAGTAAATATATTTATTGGAAAACCAAATGGCTACCGACCGAGGTCTAAGGTTCAATTTAATTAAATATCTGAGTAATCGGAAATTCAGTATTAAAGAATTATTGGGACACCCTATAAACGAAAGCCAGTGTCTATGGAATTATAAATATTTATGTTGTTTAAGGGTTCATCCAGCACCCTACTTTGCGAGTTCATTTGAAAACGCACCAGCCCACAGCGGAACAAACTTGTGATATCTGTAACCTGAAATTTAAAATGCCGCATGCTTTTAAAAGGCACAGACAATGGCATTTCAATACAATAAAACAAGAAAACGACAACGCAGAAAACCCGTTTGTTTGTGAAGTGTGCGGAAAAGGGTACAGCACCAGGATATTGTTGTCGAATCACACTAGAGTCCACAAAGAAAAATCCTTTTTGTGCAACGAATGCGGAAAGAGATTTATATACCAAGCGCAGTTAACGAATCATTTAAGAGTACACAATAAGGATAGACCGTTCAAATGCATTCATTGCCCCAAATCGTTTACTCAAAGCGGCTCTCTTACGGCCCATATTTTAACTCACACTGGACAGAGGCCGTACGCTTGCAGGCTGTGCGATAAAAGATTCGTGCAAACGCAACATTTAAAAACGCACATGAAGATCCATACCGGCGAACGGCCGTACAAGTGCAACATCTGCGGAAAAACGTTCGCCCATAAACCTGTTTTGGTGGTCCATAGCAGAATCCACAGCGGCGAAACGCCTTACGTGTGTAATGTCTGCAATAAAGCATTTTCCGATGGCTCAGGTCTCAACAAGCACAAACGGAAAGTGCATCCTGAGAAACCGGAAATACAAGAAAATTTTGTAAAAGTTCAACATAAAATTGATGAGGATGGTACAGATTAGAAAAAAGACACCATCCATTAACCGGAATCATATTAAAACAAGTGTAATATAAATTAAGTAATGAAGATGAACATGGAAAAATGGAGAATCAATGCCCAAAAGCAAAGCAAAAGTTTTTTTCCACGCTTGGTCAGAAAGATAAATCTAGTCAAATTTTAGAGAAATTAACAAAAGTGGTCAATATTTTACTGTTACATAGAACATAAACAAAAATATCATTTGTACTGCTTGTAATTAAATATATATTTTTCAAAAGTATCCAATCAAAGATTTTCCATGGGACACCCTAATAAAACGAACAAACAAAATCGAATTATAAAAATTACAACTATTTATATTGTTTAAGGATTCATCCGATCGTCGCAATTGAAAAAGCACCAAAATACGCACAAACCAGAGGAAACTTTTACCTGCGAAGTGTGCTACTTGCAATACAAAAAATACAGTGCGTTTCAGATGCACAAAAAATGGCACTTAAATCCGGATAGATTAGTAAAAGAAGAGACGAATTCGTACGCGGACAAACCGTTTATTTGCGAAGTGTGCGGTAAAGGGTTCAGCAAGCAGAGGTTGCAGAAGGCGCATGCGGAACTGCACGGAAGAAAGTCGTTTTTGTGCAACGAATGCGGAAAATCTTTCACGAAAAAAGACAAATTGACCCTTCACTTGCGCGTGCACACCAAAGAGAAGCCGTTCAAATGCAACTTCTGCGATAAGTCGTTCGCGCAACCGACTGCTTTGGCGTTGCATCTGCGAACTCATACGGGGCTGAGGCCGCACCACTGCAACCAGTGCGATAAAAAGTTCGTCCAGTCGCAGCATTTAAAGACTCACATGAAGACCCACACGGGCGAGCGGCCGTACGAGTGCAGCTACTGCGGCAAAACGTTCGCCCACAAATCCGTTTTGGTCACCCATAACAGGATTCACACCGGAGAAAAGCCTTTTGTATGCGATGTCTGCCTCAAAGGCTTCTACGATGCTTCGAGTCTCAAGAAACACTTACGCAAAGTGCATCTTAATAAAGTTGTTGAACCACCA